AATGCTCCACATGCAGACTTAAAAAAATGAGTCTGGAAGACTTTATTAATAAAAAGAAGCCCAGAACCAATGATATAAGAGAGTCCAGCTGTGTTAAAAACATAATTCACCAATGTTGATTTGGTTAAAGCAAAAGAAAAGGACAGCTGATAGCAGGACCTAAATTTTACACCTGCTTTCTCCTGTCAAATTTCAGGCACAAAATCCTTATGCTGAAGCAGTGATAATTCAAGCGCCAAGATTATTTGTCTAAACTTCCATTCTCTCCTCCGTGAATGGGAATGCCTTAAAGTACATATTGCATGACCAAACACACAAATTTCTGCTGTGCCGCTTTTTTCTGTTTCTCCAGCACAAAATGTGCAACACTCTAATAAATGAACACACACAATTTTGCTGTTTAGCACCAAAAAGTGAGCCACAAAACCTTAGTTAATGTTCCCCTACACGTTTGTGACACCTTTAAAATTGTTCTGCCAGAGTATATGATAATGTGAAACAAACTTGCTAATCCCTGACCTCAGACAGAGAAAACCCAAAGCAACAATATAAATCCAAGAGAGGGAGACGGCCAAGGCACAAAAACAGCCTTGTGACACAAAAACAGCCATTCTACCACAAACAGTCTTAAAAAAATATAACTACAAAATTCCTAGCATGGTTACATCTGAAATTATTACCAAAATAACAAATTAAGGACAAACAAAAAATTCATTTAGAGCAACAAAATGTCTTTATATATATATATATTAAAAAAAAATTTTAAATTGATGTACAATACATTCTGGCAAGGACTAACGCTACATACAAAAAAAATGTTTTGTTTAACAAATGGACAGAAGCGATAACATTTAAACTAAAGTCTGTAGATTCTACTGGTAGAATCTTGTACTGTACCTGACAGGATTGCTGGTAAGGGACACTCGTAATGAGTCTAGACAGGCAAACAGACGTTCGTCCATTATCCCCGATTTCAACTCTCCAAGGAACTCCTGGGGAGATATCTGATGTCTGCTTCTCAAGGTCCCCTAAATGAAAGACAGGAAGAAGAAATCTCTTAAGCGTAGCCACAGAAAAGTGATCAAAAAACATGAAGTCTGCAAGTTTGAATAGCCAGTCAAATGACAGAAAGACCCTAAGTAAACAACATAGCAGTTGCAAAAGCACACAAAGTCTAACCTTATCAAGTCTAGGGCTGCCCCTTGAAAGCCCAAGAAAATACAACCGAGACATTTCTTTGGACTGTGATAACTTGTGCTGGGAATTTGTCATTACTTTGGACATTCAACAAACTGAACTGTAAAGTTATATTTCAAATGATAATGAAACCATAAGATAATACTGTGGCCCTTTAATCAAATTACAAAATGACAGACCATTTTCAAGTCCTTAATACAAGTCTGGTTTTCCCTTTATAAGGAACAGGTTTTTCATATTCACACATCCATTTAAAAACATTTAGAAAATCCTTTAACATGCAGAGAAACCACATATATCAGTTTTTTAAGGTTCAAATTAATATTGTATCCATACCTGAAAGAAAGCCTAAATTCATTTATCACAGAATCAGAGCACATGCAAATCGGTCAAGCCACAAGCCATACAATTACATATGTACATTTCTGGTACTATTGCTGTACAACTCAGTGACATAGATGTACACTTACTGTTTCTCAAACACAATGCTAATCAGTCAATAATCAAGTATACTGCAGTAATGCAGGTATTGTAACAAAACATGAAAGGCCGGCTGTGTCTCAACTATCCACAAGATTGGGAGCAAGTCTATCTCTGGGTAGATGCAAGAGTGATGCAAATGGCTTTTCTACCATAAGTAGAATCTAACATTTAGTTTGAGGGCTGGGGAGGGAGAAAAAAAAAAAAAAAAGGTTTTGCACATCTGATCAATTCTCCGACTCCCAACAGCTGTGCCCTTACAATGGGTGCAATGTTCCTGGTGTGCATGTTCAAGTATTAATTAAAAGACAATGTGTAAAGTTCACTTAAGACAAGCATCACAACAAGCAAAAACTGTTCATACTAGTATAATCTCTCATATTTTGGAAAACCACTAGATTGTGTTTTTACCAAATGTATCTAAAAACATGATTTTGTAAGAACCATACTTTCATTTTCAATATTTTGTTAGTATCAGTATCTTTAAAATATTTTCTTAATTAACAAGGAGACATTTTTAAAAGATTGTACATTGAATTTACCAGCATTAAAACACTTTCTGCAGTGATACTTTAAATTAGGATTAACATTTAGTAAAGACAAAAAAAATGTTTTAATCACCTTTTTTTTTTTCCAGGCTTTTGGATCAAAGCCAGCAACCTAATATTTTTAAGCAAGTCCAAAGTTACAGATAACCCAAACACTTACTTCTCTGTTCTCTTTAATGCAATGGTAAGTCAAGTGCCTTAATTAGTTTCCAAACCTCCAAATATTTAAACCAAATGACACACTCCCCAAATAGCACATCTCCAGATGCACATCTTTAGTCATCAGCAAATAACTGAGACAGCCACTATGAACCATTATATTTAATATTTAATCACTTGCAAAAAATAATAATAATAATCCTACAAGTGTCATATAGACAGTAGATTTGTTTGTTTTTCCTTGCATAATTAAAGGTCACCCTGTATACCTGTCCTGGCCCCAGACCCCATTGATCTGCAAGAGAGGATGTAAATCTAAATCTATACTGCCTGATAACAATATACAGTACATGCATCTTGCCAAACTAATTAATATACTACCTGGATATGGCTCTTTTGTAGTTTGGGAAATATCACAGACACAAAACCAAGTCATCCATCATGTTAGATGCAGAATCAGATCTATATGTGCACGCTAAATTAGAGCAATAAAATCAAAAACATGGTTATGGCTTCAACTTTAAATTTACTATAGGATTAAGTGACTACTGAATGGTTTTGTATCCACCAGGAGCCTCAATCAACTTCACCATTGGTTTACCCCAATGAAGTTCTGCCACAGTACCACAAGACATTAACATACTCATCTCCAAGTCTGGTAGCAATCCTGTGAATCTCTCACTCTTCAGCAGCATCCCCTTCCAGTGTTTTCATCACAAAACGTGCCCTTTTTAACTCTGCTCCCATGTTGGCTTTCGACTGTAGCCCTTTCTTGGCACCACCAGCTTAGGCAGACTTGTGCCTAATATGTCTCTTGCTGCGTCATGTATAACTGGAAGAGTGCCAACAATTTTACCCATTCCGACCACCCCCTGGCTGCATATTAGCTCATCAAAGATACAGTAAGTATCTGTTTCCCTCTCTTTTACTCTCCCATCCTGGAGAGACATAAGTGATGACAAGCCTATCTGTCTCTCAGGATCTTTCAGCCCTATATCAATGAGAGAATCATATGTGCTGCTCATGGCAGCAACAGACAGTTTAATTTGGCTGAGCCTTTCTCATTAAGGGAGCATCAGAGAAGCTATGATCCCACAGAAGTATCCCAGGGAGTGTGCTGTGATCAGTTCCTCCAGGATTCCATGACGGCACTCAAATTCAACCAATCCCCATGAATTCTGCTTACTCATGCAATTTTGTCCTATCGCCACAACTTTTCCACAAATTTGACTAGTCATTGTTCAGTGCGGGTTTGCCTTTTTACTGTACTAGAAAGAGTGGGGAGGTCAACAACAGTGAGATATAGCTAAGCTGACACTGGGCAAGAGGCAGGGTAAACAGACTGATGAGTCGCTGTACCAGAGTCAAATTCCTCGTGTGTTCAACATACCTGTCCAATAAAGCTGATTCTGATGTTTACATAGTACTATGCATTTACCTAATTGGGCCTTGGGGAGTTCTTTTAATTATTAGCTACTTCAACAATGAATTTCATGGAGGTCTAAGTGACATTTGGAATTTGGAAACCAATAAACAACTATCTCATGTTTTCTAATGTAAACTGATTAAAGATCCCTGTAGTTCTGAAAAGTCAGAGGTGAACTGAATTCTCCGGATGTCTGGTTCACACAAAATTTTGTACAGTTTAGAAGATACCCAACCGGATTTAGCAAAATGAAACTACTAAAGGGTTTTGGCCTCTATCTTTTCCACTGGAATTTCACAGGCATTTGTGCAGCAGAATAATTACAGTGATCACTAACTCTCAAAATGTATATATCCTGGCATGCAAGAATTTTATCAAGATAAAATAGACACTGTACATTATTCTAATGACCTATTAATCTTTCACACCCAGAGACACTTCTGAAGATTGTTTTGATGTGTTTTAAAGGCAACACTAACTAAAACACCATTTTCTGCACAGCAGGGGCACTGCAGGCAAATCTAAAGTGGGGTCTCCAAAGAGTAGAATGGTTATTTCAGGACAACCACTGCTACATAACACACTGGCAAAGGTCAGCAATTATTTTGCCTAACAAAATACATTTTTTCTCTGCAAGGCTATCTACCAAATTTGCAAGCCAGAACCTCACTTGAATATGTCAGCAAGAGACATACATCAATTCAGGACATAATATTAAAGGTTAATTGGCAAAGCAGTCTTGTGGGTGAGAATACTGTGTCCAGAAATTGGCTTCCCTTATTCCTGAGTTTTTTGGTGGAAATGAAACATGAATTAAATACTGGGGGAAAAAAGAAAAAAAAAACAAAAAAAACATGGCATCTATATTTTTAGGTTCATACAGTTCGGTGCAGAGGTCTAAGGCCAGAATTATATTAGTTGTTTTAGCAGTGTTATGATGACTATATACATTTATTTATCAGAACAGAAGTAGAAAATATGTTCCTAGTACATAACATTAAAATGTTCAGCAAGCAAACTGGATACTCAAGATGTGGTTTTCAAAGTGTTATAAAGAAATATTTAGAATCCAGGCAAAATCAGGGACAAAAATAGGAGTGGAAGACCAAGAAATCTGTCAAAAACCGATGAGAAGTTTCTCAGAGTTTCTTCATTAAGAGAACGGAGGATATCCAGTAAGGACCTGGCTCAGTATCTGGCAGCTTCATCTGGATGCCAAGTTGATCCTTTCACAGTCTGAAGAATCATGACCAGGAATGGCCTTTCTGGAAGAGTAGCAGCCAAGAAACCACTTTTTCAGAAGGGGGATGGAGAATAGGATGAGATATGCAAAAGCTCAGAGAGACTAGAGTGAAGATCAGTGGATGTGAGTATTACTGAGCAACAATTTGAAGTTTGAAATGTCCGGGTCCAATCATCAACAGTATGTGAGAAGAAGGGTTGGAGAGGGGTGGAAGAATGAGTGCATGCAGCCATCAGTGATACGTGGTGGAGGGTCTGTCAAGGTTTCAAGACTTTCTCGCCAAAAGAATTTAAGCTGTATTAAGTGCCAAATACTTACTTTGGACTGTAGGAGTCATTTTGTTCTGAAAATGTTTTTAATATTGTGTATATATTTCCTGAGACTAAGAAATAAATATAAATTATCATTGCAACCTTGCTAAAACAAAACTAATGGTGGTCTAAGACTTTTGCACAGTACAGTACAGTCTAAAACCTTTGTGCAAGAAAAACCTGCAGCATTTACAAGGGCATCACCATGATGCTTTTTTAATAGGTGTTATCTCTTCCAGCTACGCAGGGACTGTCAGTATCAGATGTTTCATCTAAGGATAAACATCGACTTTAATTATTGCTTTGAGCACAGACAACGTAGAAACTGAAAGTCTGCTTACTAATTCACCAGTAGTATTTGTGATCAAAATAATAATGATCGAAATGAAGCAGTGGTTAGCACTGTCATCTCCCAGCTGAAAGACTTCGAAACTCCTGCCTGACTGCATGTTGTCCCGATGCCTGTCTGGGTTTCTACACAGGCAAATACTCCATCTTCCTGCTACAGCCCAAATATATGCAAGCCGTGTGACAGATTGGCAATCCGCCCAGGGTGTACCCCACCTTTTGCCCAATGTCAGCTGGAACTAGCTACGGCCCCCTGCAACTCTATATAAAATAAGCAGTAGCTATAGCAAATGGATGGATGTTTGTGTTGGCAAGACATCAGTCTGATATGTGCAGACAGTTAGATAGGTAGATGTTACCTCCCAGCAGGGACAGACAGAACAAAGTCCAATCCACACACAGTTCTTGTGACTTCCACAACTTCACATCTCATAGCCAGAGATAATATCTTACCAACAACTACAGACCGAGAGCACAAATCACTGTGCAGTGTGTGTTCTTTTTTCTATGTATCTATCTACTCGTAGATCTATTTGTCTATCCTCATGTAGCAATCTTTAGATTTGCTACTGTCCTTGTCCTTGTCACTGTACAAAGCATGGAAATCCTCAATACATTGGTTGTGTATTTGCTTGTGTCCCAGTGCATGTGCCTCCTACTACAATAATACATCTGCCAGAAAAACAGCAAGACAAATGAGGCTGCACTGCCTTGTAAACCAATATAAGCTGTTTTCATATTGAACAATTAAATTCAGTCCCTCCCCAGTCTCTGTCAGGTCCCACATGAGACATAATTTTTCATTAAGAAAAATACACCTGAAATGACATAACATGTGCCCAGATTATAACCAAATTCATTTGGTCTTAAAATACAACATGTAAAAGGCAGATATTAAATTCCACACATATTAAAGTGTGTAACTATATAGACAGGCAGCAAAGCATAAAAAATGAAGTTTAAAAATTCCATATGATTTAAAATAAAAATAAAAAAGAAAGAAAAAGTACTTACTGTTTTAGAGGCTGTAAAAATGTACTGGGTGACCATTTCTCTTTTTGTGCTGAGGTCCTTTTCTCTCAAAGGAGTCTTTTTTTCTTCATTCAAGTTCATGTCCTCCTGAGAACCAAATAAAAAAACAGAGAAAAAAGATAGATCCAATTTGAAATTTGCTCCTTTTTTTAAATACATTTTAGCAATGCCTTTGTTTACTCCTATTCCATTACCATAGAACCATCATGCAGCTGAATTATTGTTAGTTTTCCTATGCTTTTATTAAAATATAACAATATATTCAAACTAAGGTAAACACCTTTATCGTTATATTCAGTGTTTCTCTTCAAAAATCTTTATCCATTTCTTTACCACTGTGTTGTTGCCATTGTATCAGGTGTATGTTTTACATGTCAAAGTTGCTCTATTGTTTTTATATATATA